AACCAAGGGTCAGATGCTTTGCCTCGAGCCACCCAGGCGCCCCTAGGATTTCCATTTTCAGTGCATTCGTTAGCTCTGTTTAGAGTCTGCTCGTGTTGGAGTCCTGCTGGCTCAGACCTCAGAGTCTCCCAAGAGGCACCAGTCCTCATCACGTTCGGGCTTGGGACCCTCGCTACATGGAGGGCATTGCCGTGGAGGGCGAGGCAGGTGCCCCATTTGTTTCAAAGGTCTAACTTTTCCTGGGGACCCATGTCTTCCCAGTCCCGATGCTATGCATTTGCTGCCCCGGTTTCTCTGTCTAGATCCCTTCCTGGCCCCACTGGCCTGACTCTCATTCCTCTGCTTCCCTAAGTTCTCGCTGTTTCCTTTTAACCCCCGCTGGGGCCAAAGTTTCTGGTCTTAGCATTGCTAGTTGGCCCTCAGGGTCTGAGGAGCAGCCTGGGAATCCTCTTGGCCTGGATTCCCCCTCCTGCTAGTGCTGGAGGCAGGGGAGGGTCCCCGGAACTGAAGACCTCAACTTCTCCAGGCAATCTGCCCAACTTCTCCCAACCAGTATATCCGGGGAGAGAGGAGTCAAACTCCAGTCCCCCTGCTGGTGCGATGCACACCCGGAGGTCCGTGGACCAGTGGGACAGTGACAGGAGTGTGCTTCAGAAGTCCCTGGCTATTAGCGTCTCCAATTTCAGATTTCATCATAGCAGCCGTGCCCCTGGCACCTCCCCCTCCCTTCCCCTCCTCCCCTCCCCCCAGAGCCCTGGCCAGCTACTTTCCATTGCAGGAAACATCTGCTGGGGAGGCCAGACTAGGCCGAGGGGTTACTGGAGGACGTTGGCCAGTACCATCACCCAGATCCTGTAACTTGAGGCATGTGTAGGACTCCGGCCCTGCCCACCCACCCACCCTGCCTCCCCCCTGCCATGGGCGGCTCTAACAAAGAAGTTGTTTGCTGGTCAGCTCAGGAGAGCACGTTGTGGGGAAGGAAAGGGGTGTGTGTGTAGGGGTGGGGGTGAGAACAGGCCTTGTTGCCACAGCCAGTGGTGGCCGCTCTGCCTGGGAGAGGGCTGTGAGTCATAGGGACCAGTGCCCGCCCAGCGGAGAGATTGCACAGTGAACGGGCTGCCTTATGGGACGGGCCAGACGGCGCTGGGAAGCCAGGAGTTCATTCTCTCCCCGGAGTTTCTGACCAACTGTGAGCGGGGTGTGAGGAATTGGCGGGGTGCACCCCTGGACCTGGCTGTGGGGTCGTCATCTTCCTGTGCGGCGTGTCCCATCAGGGGCCTGCTGTCCGGAGCCCTCCTGCTGGCTCTGTGCACCTGCCGTGTCGTCTGCCTCTTCTGGCCTCAGCTGGCCTCTCGGAGTGGCTGTCCACACTGACCAGGAGGAGGGGTCCCACCGCATCCTCTCTGGGTCACCTTCAGCCCAAAGACCAGCCACCTTGTGGGAGCCAAAGTGGGGTGAAGCAGAACCTGGCCATGGGACACTGGCCAGCCAGCCTGTCCCAAGAGCCATGCTGACCACACCCTCCCGCTTGTGAGGTTTCGTGCTGGGAACGGAGCTCTGGGAGACAGAAGGAGGCCAGTCAGGGTCACACAGACCCTCTGCCGAGAAGCCAGCGGTTTGCCTATCTGCATTACGAGGCTGATTGTTTTTCATCCTGAGGGCACAGTCGGGAACCAGAGCTCCAGGATCTGGGCTCCCTGGGGAGGAGGAACCGTGGGTAGCGATGGAATCTTTGACTGAGTCGGGGGTCCTCTTGAGCCTCCTGCTGGAGCAGGACAGCCAGCCTTTGCAGTGGTACCTGAAGAAGTTTCCGGATCCACCTGTTGGTGCAGAACTCTGCTGCTGGCATGAATCTGAGGAGATCCCAGCCGTGAGTGTGCATCCCAACTTCTCTGGGCCCGTGTGACCATTCTGCCGCACCCCTGTAATTCCCTACTCACTCCTGCTGCCTGAGGGCCCCCCCACCTGACCATCCTTGAACCAAAATCCTCTGACCATTTTAAATTAAAGTAGGTGTGCCACGCCTCACTTTCCGAGGAAATTGCTCTAAGAGCACAGGGGTGGGAGACAGAGGGTCGAGGTCTTTTGCGTCAAAAGGATATATGCCGGTGAGGGGGTTGACCTGACATGTCTCTAGAGTCTGGGAGGCAGAGGCCCGCCTGCCATCCATACTGGCAGCCTGGGAGAACGAGGGCACTGATCTCCAAGGCTGTTAAGGAGTTCCTGCACCCAGGTCAGTTTTGATAGAACTGGCTGAGTTGAGAGCTTAGCTGGCATTGCCCTCCCTCTCCCTCGGCCATAGCTTTGTTTGGAGGGGAGGAGAGGAGAGGAGCGGCTCCCTCCGTTTGCCACCAGTCTGGTTGGGAGATGACGGCCAGACGCCAAGCACCTATCTCTACCTCTGTCGATGCCTGAGTTCTCTGTGGAGGCGAGAGAGAGGGAGGGGCGAGGCAGCTATGTGGAGAGCACGTGAGAACAGGAGGACTTCCAGTCTTGGATAATTGGTTGCCTGGTGCCTGGTTAACACCTGAGGGGGCCTAGGAAGACTCGCCTGCTGGAGACTTTTTTTTTTTTTTAATTTTTTAAAGAAATTTAATTGTAAAGAACCTAAAGCTTAACCATCTGGAGTATTTGTAAGGATTTCTCAGTTCTGTAGCGTTAAGTGCATTCACATTGTCTGCACCCAGCTTCCAGAATTTTTTCATCTTGAAACACTGAAGCTTTATTACCACCCCCTGGGGCGGGGAGGAGACCACTCGTGGGCATGAGAGACGAGTGGGTGCCCCCAAGGATGTGAGTGTCTCATCGCCTCGGAGGGTGTGCTCTCCTGGGGCATCCGTGTTGCCCTCTTGGGACCAAGACCGTGAGGCGCCATCACAGAACAGTGGCTCAGACCAGGGACCCTGGGGCAGGCTGCTTCGGTTTTGTGCTCTCCTCTCCCACTTCGGAATCACATGCTTTAGACAAGTTGCTTCACCTCTCTGTGCCTCAACTTCCTAGTGTATAAAATGGGATAAGGGAAACAGCCTGTGGTCCGGTGAAATGATGCATGTGAAGGGCTAATGGTAACACGGGGTGCGTGGTAATGACTCATTTCATGTTCGCTCAGCTGTAGCTGTACAGGGTCGCTTAGGCATAATTAGGAACTTAGCGATGATCAGGTGGGCGAGCAGGGGTTTTCATTGTGTGGGCTGTGTTCTGTAAGGCCAGGGCGCTGGCTGGATTGGCTATCTTGGTATCAGTTTGGGATCAACCTATGGGCCAGAGGAGTGTGGTATTTGGAGGTTTTTTTTTAATAGCCATAAAAGTCAGAGGATAGGTTGACTTCTAGATATTCACTCCCAGTGGCCCTGATGCTTGGCTCAGAGATACAGCAGGTGACTTTGGGGTTCTACAGCACAGCGTGCCTTTGGGGAAGGTAGCTGTGCATTGACTACTACCAGGATGGCTCGTTTTATAAACCAGCCAAGATAAGTTTCAAAGCCAAATTAACTATAGACAGCATAGCTGAAAGCACTGTCTTCTCTCTCTGTCCTGGAAATCCTCCCCCAAACTGAAGTCCTGCCATTCCTTTCTCCAGCTTCCTGAAACATTCCCCTTGCCTCTAGCACAAAAGCCAACAGGCCACTTTGAGCTCGGCTAGCCAAGCAGGTGCCCTGAACACAGTCAGACCACAGCCCGAGCTTGCTCGAGGGCCACTCAGCTTTGCAGAAAGCCAGAAGTTACTGACTAAAGCACGTCGTGTTGCTGCCACAGCTGTATACCGGTGCATTGCCAAGGAAGTGGGTGGAAAGTGTAAATGGCCAAGACCTACCTGACACCACCATCAGGACAATCTGGGGCGCTCCCGGCATGAGTAGGCTGGTCAGTGACTCACCTGGCTGGAGGACAGGTGTCTCTCTGTCGTGATGCGTGGCTCTTCCTGGGTTGTGCCCTCGTCTTCATGTGTCATCCTTGGGTGCCTTTCAGCCACAGCATATGCTGCCTTTTTTTTTTTTTTTTTTTTTTTTTATGATTGTAAGCTTAGATCAGGTTTCCTGTCTGTTCAACTGACTAAGGGAATTTCCAGGGAGGATTTGCTAAGACAGTTTATGGGGATAGGTCTGCACCCAAAAAGCACAGGCTCTGGTGGTGGCTCAGGGGGAGCCAAGGACCTGGGATGCAGAAATCTGTCACTGACCAGTCCAGGGGCTCCTGGGCAGGGGTCTCCTCTCGGGCCTTCGTTTCCTCACCGCTAATGGAAGGGTTGGGTTAGATGGGCTTGTAAAAGGTGGGGAGGGCCTCAAGGTGGGGTGCCTCCAACTTGCCAGACACGCTTTTAAATTCTCTGCTTCTGTGCTTATTCTAGTACTGGTTTTATGTTGTTGTTATTGTTGTTATTGTTTTCTAATCTAGTCTTGGTAAAGTACAGTTCTCCCCCACCCCGTTTCACTGAGATATAATCGACAAGTCCCATCGTAATAGTCTTCCATTGTAAGATTTTTCTTTTCCAGTTGCGATTGTCGTACCCAGCCAGGTACTTATTGTATCAGTGACAACAACCACTGCTTCTAAGAGATGCACTGAGTACTGTCGTATTGTGGGTCCTGCTAGGGGGCTGAGGGAGCCCTTTCAGGCCCCCGTTTTGCTGTCAAGGTGGGACTTCCTGCTGGCAGAAGGCAGGGCAGCAGTAGCTCTCGTGGTGGGTCCCGGGAAGCTCCCTGGAGGGGTCCCTCCTTCCTTTCTCTTCTTGGTATCCAGTAGGGCCCTGCTTAGCATGTTTGACATTTTCTCATTGATGGACACTGGATACAAACACTTTTGGAGTGTGTGATTCTCCCTGGGGTGTTTATCCATACATGCTGAAGCCCCCTAGGCCTCACCGGGCTACGTAGGGTCTGTGGAATAACAGAGCCTCATCTTCGCCCTTTAAACCTGCAAGCAGGTGCTCTTGCTATGTCTTCCTCCCCATCCCCACAGAACCTGGGGACGTCCTGCTAACCTCAGTCATTGTCGCGCAGGTGTTAAGCCCAACTTACAAGCAGAGAAATGAAGACTTCCGAAAGCTCTTTAAGCAACTTCCAGACACAGAGCGTCTCATTGTTGGTGAGCTGGGGGACCCTGAGAGCAGGGGGTGGGAGCGGGAAGGAAGTCTGGGCTGAGCACCGTGTGTGTGATGGCCTCGGTAGAGAGCCCAGCCCAGGATGAGTCACTGCCACTCTTCCCTCTGCAGGTGGCCCAGCAGTTAAGGGTTGGGGTAATGTGGATAGGGGAGGGGTATCAGTTGACTTTCATCGGCCTCTACTCCCTCTGATTTTCTCGTCCTCTCTGCCACCTCCTCCATCCCTCTGCCTCCAGGCAGCAACGGCGTGTTTCACGTCATGTCAGCTGCTAGGGACCCCCTTGGCCACTAGTTCAAGTGTCTCACCCAACTAGTGAGTGGCAGGCAGCGGAGCTCCCGCAGTGCTGGTGGGAGGGATGGCGGGCCTCGTTGGTAGTGGTTCGCTGAAGATGCTTCCTCTTGTCCCCCATCCTACTGCAGATTACTCATGTGCACTCCAAAGAGACATTCTTCTTCAGGGCCGACTCTACCTCTCTGAAAATTGGATCTGCTTCTACAGCAACATCTTCCGCTGGGAAACTCTGGTAAAGAACTGGGGCTTTCTCCCTGGGCTGTCCCCTCGGCTAGCACTGAGAAAGTTGTCCCCACTCTCCCCCTTTGGTTGACTTCCTGCTCTACCCACGCCTTTGCATAAAAGGACATGCCTGAGTCTTCAGGGTGAGATCTCCTCTGCCATGTCTTCCCCCTCCCTCCCTCTTGGGTGCGGAAGAGAGCATGAAAGCATTTGCTTTTGGCAAGTGGGGGTTAGCATTCGGCAAAAGTCATCGCAGGAGGTAGAGTAGTTGAGTCCAAGGAGCGTTGGCCTTGGCACTCAGGGCCCGGTTGAACGTTGTCTGGGTTTTCCACCTAGTGAGCTGTTTCTTAGGAGGCTAGTCCTTTATTCTTCCTCTGCCTCCTCATCTTATAAAATAAAGCAGGAAGAAATAAGCTGGTGACTTTTATGGTTCCATCCAGTGTCATTGTCCTGTGTCTGTGTAAGTGCCAAGCAGCAGTAGGGCTGTGCACATTGATCAGACTGTGTAGACGGGAGAAGGCAGGCTGCCTGGACCAGTAGCTGAGACAACACTGGGCTCAAGGCAAGGCTCAGCCGCCATCTTGCTGCGTGGCCTCTGGGAAATGGGGAGCTAAACCAGGTGATGTTTAACGGGGTCCCTTCCAGGTTTAGAAATAAGTAAACTGAGATGTGATTTCCTCCCTCTGAATGGGCGCCACATAAACACTTGTGGCCGACTCAATGAATGTCTCTTCTTGCTTATTATCTGTTCTCCGTCCCTGTGGGGTGCCAGCTGACGGTCCGTTTGAAAGACATCTGCTCCATGACTAAAGAGAAAACAGCTCGCCTCATTCCCAATGCCATTCAAGTTTGCACTGACTCTGAAAAGGTAAGTGAGACTAATCTTGGACCTTCTACTCCCTGGCACCCCAGTCCCCAGCCCCCCGACCCCGCTTCTGTATTTCTGTCCTTCAACTGCATGAATATGGAGGCCAGGAGGATGGGGGTGGGGGATGGGAAGGTGATGGAGATGGTGGGGACCACCTCCATTGGATTGGGGTGTTTGGAGTCTGAGCAGGGGTGAGGACGGAAGGTCAGTCCACTGGACTTGGAGCCAGAGCACTTGAATTTGAGTCCTGTAACCGTGGGAGTGGCATGTAACCTCTCTCCACTTAAGTTTTCTCATGCGTAACGTGGTGCCAGTCATTCCCATGACAAAGGCTTGAAATGACGTCACGGATTTGAAAACACTGAATTGTAAAGCGCTTTGCAAATATGAGTTGTTATTACACATCGGCAGAGTCCAGTAGGAAGTGGATTGTCAGTATGGGGGAGGTAACATATGGGGCCGAGGAAACATTGGGATCTTTGACCTTTAACCAGCGCCTGGAGACTGAGAGCTTCAGGGCTGGGGGTGGACTAGGCCTGAGCCGAACACAGGACTGCAGAGCCCTTGGACTTGGGGAGTTCAGTGGCAACAGCCTTGAGATTTTGGGTCAGGTAGTCTTTGGTTTGAATTCTGTTTCTGACATGAATCAGCCTTGTGATGACACAAGACCTCTAATCCCACCAGCTTGTTTCTCTTTATTAGGCGTTGGCGGTTAGTTTCTCTTCCAGGCTTTTGTGTGGTTTAGGTGAAGCAGCATTTAGATCGTGTTCAGGACATCTGGTTCCCCATCATTTTCTTCCCACGTGTTCTATGGGGTCCCCACTAACATGTAAGCACAGTAAGAGCCGGCCTTTCTGTTTTGATTGTCACTGTACCCCAAATATGTAAAATCATACCCAGCACGTACTGTATTCAAATATTTGTTGAATTAGCGAATGAGAGGGTGAGAGGGTTTGTCTTCTCCTTCCCAAAGTCTGGCTCCCGGCTCACCACTTATCCCGGGTCCAGTCGGTGGATGAGGAAAGTTGTTTTATGGAGAGGAAAACCTCCCAAGCAGAGGGAGAAGCGCCTTGGAAAGCAGGGGTGAATACCGAAGGACTCGGGGCCACCGTGGACTTGAAGGTCCCAAGTGCCTGGGCCCCATGGGCTGGTCCCTCTCACCACAGTACGCTGGTGTCATGGTCGTGGATAACTGAGTCTGTAGTATTTGGGGAGGAAGTCAGCAGCTTTCCTTAAAAGGATGAAGCACCCTGTCTCCCTCCATTATATTGTGAGTCTTAAAGGATTCTTCTTGCTGTCTTCTGTTCCCATCTAGCACTTTTTCACGTCATTTGGGGCCCGGGACAGGACATACATGATGATGTTCCGGCTCTGGCAGAACGCACTCCTGGAAAAGGTGAGTACTGCCCAGCTGCTTCCATCCTTCGGCCTCAGGATGCGCATCCACCTGGAATGTTCATTCCCCTGGGGTGAGGGCTCCGTGGCGGGAGTGGGCTTCCGTGACGTGGGCTGGCTCCAGAGCAGCCCGGGTGTCATCAAGGTTCTCGAAGTCCCCCAGACTTGGGTGAGTTCTCTGTTCTCCTCCTGGTGGTGTTCTGTGAGCTGCCCGCTTGCTGCCTGGAGCGAGGCCCTCACTGACTTCAGGCACTTGAGTTCCACCTTCTGAAATGTGCCAGGGTTTGTGAGACCTGCAGAGGTGGAAAGGACTGTCAGGGAGGAATCGATTTCTATACTCACAGGTTCCTAGAGGCAGAGGCCTGTCACACCTCGCAGATCACATGGGGAAGGGAAGGAGACCACGGCCCATTAGGAGGTAGAGAGCATAAGGGGAAAGCATGGGTAAGAGCTTCCGTTGCGGCTTTTGCAGGAAGGACTGGGTGAGGCCGGGTAAGGGCCAACCAGGTTTAAAATTGGCTAGTTTGAATAATTCCATCAGGCCTTGGGACATGGAGACTGTCTCTAGTTGCCTGTCGCTGGGGTACCTAAGGCCAGGTAACATGGGCCCCGACTGTAAGGGTCTAGGAAAGAAGGGGGTGGAGGGTCTAGGCTTTGGATTGGCCAGTGACATACAAAAGGTGAACTTCCCGGAGAGTTGTTTTCTGTCAACAGGGATTAGCTAACCCTGGGATGGACATTCCCTTACCAGTCAGCTAGGCCTTGGATGCCAAGCATCAAAAATTCAGAAAAGGGAAAAATAGAGTTAATAAGCCCCCTAATCTGACGACTCGAGTATCTGAGGGACTCTGAGGGGACATGGATATTGGCGATGATATGGCCACATTTGACTCGAGTGTCTCAGGGACTCTGAGGGGACACGGATATTGGCGATGATATGGCCACATTCCTTCAAGAACTCCCACTCAGATGCCCTGGCCAGTCGGGGTGAGTGTTGGGAAAGAAGCCTCAAGCCAAGGCAAGAGACACAGTAGAAAAGTTACATGGTTATAATTATATACATGACACATATTTATCCACTTTGACTCTTAAGCAATCTAAAGTAAACTGGGCAGATTTATTATTTAGACTTTCTTCTGACCTGAAGGCCTGTAGCCCTGGCCCGAATCCAGGTAGCTTATCTGTGCTGCGATCTTCTGCCTTTAGTAGCCATCAGTAATAGTAAAATGATTGTGTATTTGAACCTCCACTGGCAGGTTGGGATTTTTCATTCAGTTCACAGACACTGTCCTTTGTGAATAAGACAGAAGCTCTGACACAGCAGATGTCCGCTGACTGTCTTCGTCCTGCTTGTGGTCCGGCAGGCTGAGCCTGGTGGATGGATCAGAGAGGAGTGCATGGAGAAGGGGAGTTGTGACAAAGGGGAGGACGTGGTTGGGGAGGACGTGGTTAGGCAGCAAGGCAAATGTGTCTCAGGTGGGGTGAATGATCTATGTCAGGGCCAGAGATAGGAGGCAGGGGGCCCAGAGAAAGGAGGAGGAGATACCTCCCTCTGGCTTGGTGAGGGCCAGCACCTCTCGGCTCAGAGGGAGCCCTGGGCTGTGCCATTCTGGACAGTTCTCCTCAGCTGGGAGGCCAGAAGCACTGCCTGCTTCCTAAACCACACCAGGAAAGGCTGATCTCCAAGAATTCTCAGGTTCTTAATCAGATCTGTTAATGGGAACTGCTCTTTAAGTTTGATGTAATATTTCTTTGTGTTTTGACTCCTTCTGTTTTTCCTTAAGTCTCTGGCCCTCTTTCTCATATCCTGACCCTGCCACCTTCTGCCCCGCTTCCAACTGAGGACTCCTCCATTTCCCTCCAGTCGTTGTTTTTTCCACATTCTGCCTCTTTTCCCACAAATCCGAACCCCACGGGAGCTCACTTTTCTCAGGACAGAGCTTTTGAGGAGGGTACGTAGGCCCATGGTGAAATAAGGACGTGCGGCTAGCAGCACCCAGAACTGTAGACGGACTCATTCTGGTGGAGAAGAAAGAAGGAGGTGTTGAGGTAGCCAGGAGAGGGTTGGATGTGCTCCCCTCTGAGGCCCCTTAAATTATGAGAACATAGGCTTCTTTCTAGCCACGGGAACTGTCCGACAACGGAATGGCCACCTTCGAGGTCACACCTCGTTCTGTGAAGCAGTGGGGCCTGCTTGCATGGTCACCGTTAGTATGAGGAGGTTTCTGTGTGTTGGGGAGACTGCCCCTAGGGACCAGGTCCACATCAGACGCTCTGTGATCCCTTTGGCTCCAGGATTCACATTGATTTATCACGCTTAATGCTTGACCTCGTCCATAGAAGCCAAAAAATGGGTAGTTACCATCCTTAAGGGGGCAGCTGATCCCATTATGCAAACCTGAGTTGTGGGAACAGGGCCAGGTTCCTGGCTTGGCTGGAAGCTGTATCTTTAGGCAAAAGATTGGTGTCTTGATGTGACCCTGGGAGGAGGTACAGGGAAGTAGAAGAGGCGTTGCTCTCCACTTAGTCCAGAATGGAGGTCCACTTCTCCTACCCCCAGGGGAGTCCAGCTCAGTGCCTCTGTGTAGCGTGGGGTCCCGAGGAAGGAAAGGTCAGAGTCCCTCTGTTGTCCCCGCAGCCCCTCTGCCCCAAGGAGCTCTGGCACTTCGTTCACCAGTGCTACGGGAATGAACTGGGCCTTACCAGTGACGATGAGGACTACGTGCCCCCTGATGACGACTTCAACACGATGGGGTGAGCAAGGCTGAGGGCAGCTGCCCAGGGAGCTCCTCCAAGAGGGCCTGGGATGGTGGTGGCAGCCTCCCTAGGGAGCGATGCCTGAGTGAGTGGGAACAGCCAGTGGGTGGCTGGACAGAACGAACAAAGGGCCAGCAGGAGGAGGAGAGGCCGGGGCCAGACCCTGAAGGCCTTTTGGCCAGTGCGACGATTGGATTTTACTCCAAATGGGCTGGGAAGCCGTGGCAAGGCTTTGAGTTGGTAATGGATAAGATCTGAGTTAACGTTTTAACCGGAGCGCTCTGGCTCCTGCGTTGGAAATAGACTAGGAAGGAACAAGGGCGATGGGCTGAGAGGCTGAGAGGCTGTTGAATAATTGAGAGGAGAGGTGAAGGTTGTTTGGGCTGGGAGGGCAGCAGTAGAAATGGCAGGCACTGGTTCGTTGCTGAATATATTTTGAAAGTGGAATCAGGTCTGTTTTGAAGGATCTGCTGACAGATTGGAAAGGAACCAAAGATGGCTTTAAGGTTTCCTTGGATTTATCAGCTGGAAGCCTAGGGCTCTTCCAAACCGAGATGGACAGCGCTACAAACCAGACTTTGGGGGAAGATCAGGCAGGTTGGGTTTGAGATGACAGCCGGCCAAATGGAGATGTCACATAGACATTTGTGGATGTGAGTGTGGCGTTTACCAGGGAAGCGTGGGCGAGGTTCCTAAACCTGGGAATTAGGAGTGGCTAGCTAAGGAGATTAGCTGCAACCACAAATGGTTGGATGAACATAGGAAGTTCGAGGACTGGGCCTGGGAGCACTCAGCAGGAGGAAGCAGCAGCAAAAGAAATCCTGAAGGAACATCTAGCCAGGTAGGAGGAGCACTAGGAGAGCTCGCGTGCTCGGAGCCAAGGGAAGGGAGCATCACTGTATCCCATGCTTGATGTGTTGAGAAGGATGGGGCCTCGAAGCCGTACTAGCCTTGCTCGAGGTGGGGAGGTAGATGGAGGCTCGGTGGTGGCATGCGAAGCACAGAGCCGTGGAAAGCAGGAAAAGTGCGTGGAGTAGTGACCCTCAGTGGCGATACCACTCAATCTCGGTGAACGTCTGCCTGTCTTGAGCAGACGTGTCGTATGTTACTCAGAGCTGTCTTGCATCCAGTGGGGTGATAGGCAAAGTGTGAGTCAGAAGCTGATGACAGGGCTGATTTCTCCCTTGGGAGAGGCTGAAGTGTCCCGAGACAGGCACCCACCCTTCTCCCAGGGAGGGTTCACCTTCCGATGTCCAGGGCAAAGAAGCTCACTAGTTAGGATCCAGAATCTGGGTGTTCTCACCAAAGGACACTTGTGGAGGGTCCAGTCCCCATCACTGTGTGGGAAGTAAAATGTATTCTCAGAATGTCCCAGGTGTTTCTGCCAGTGGTGAGGTTGGGATGGGATGGGATGCCATGGAAGAAAGATCGTTTAAGACACGTAACGGTCATAGGTTGGGTTAAATCTAAGGAGAGTATGCAGAAAATAGGTGACTTTGGAGCCAGAAATCATACATGGGGAGGGGAGTGCGAGGTGGGGAGGAGGTTTCGGGAATGTTGTGTAGCAGCGGGGAGGTGTTTAGAGGAAGATCCTGGCTAAAGCAAAGAAGCAAGACAGCCCATAGTTGGGGACGGGTAGACAGATGTGAGGTTCTTAGAATAGTCAGCAGTCTTGACTGCCGAGGTGACAGGGATTCGTGCTGTCTTCTCTCAGCTACTGTGAGGAGATCCCCGTGGAAGAGAATGAAGTGAACGACAGCTCATCCAAAAGCAGCATCGAGACCAAGCCGGATGCCAGTCCGCAGCTCCCCAAGAAGTCCATCACCAACAGCACGCTGACGTCCACAGGGAGCAGCGAGGCCCCTGTCTCGGTATGGGCAATAGGACCTCTCTTCTGCCCCTCCTCCCGTCGTAGTCGTTGTTTCCCAGCCCAGTGCACTCCCCAGCACCCCGGCCTGGGGCACGGACACAAGGGAGGTTGCTTACCCTGTGGTAGGTGATTCACGAGGCCTCCAGGAGCCAATGGGCTCTCTTGTTCCGATGCTGTAGTCCCGCGCCCTGGATACAAGGTTTTGTTTGGCTTCTGAGCACACGGAAACCATTCCAAGTTCATGGTGTGACAGCTCCAAGTCGGCCCCTCTATGGAGAACTATCCCAGGTCTTTTTTTTTTTTTTTTTTAACTGCCTTGATACAAGGTCAAAATTGCATGTGAATCTAGGGCTGCAATCTTTTATCTGTTCAGTCATTCGACAATTAGTTTTTGAGTTCCTAGTGTATACGCTCCCGATTTATTTTTCCACTGTGCTAGACTTTGCGAAAGAGATAAAAATATGTTAAGAAAGGCCTTTGTTCTCTGAGACTTGGCTCCAGAAGGGATGGGAGCTTGACAGAGGAAGTGTTGGGTGTGCACTGGCGGGTTGAAGAATGGGCGGGGATTCTTGGAAAGGATTCCCAGAGAGGGGAGCCGCATACTCCGTTGGCTCAGGGGTCAGACCTTAGAATGAAAACGTCGTTCATCTGTGCCTAATCTCCATTTTCCATCTCTAAGGTTGTCCTAAAAATAAAAAGGTTTGTCTCTCTTCTCTTCTAGGGCTAAGGGGAGAATAAATTAAAAAGCACTTAGGAAGATTTGGAGCCTCTTAGCAGACGAGCGCTCGTGAGAGGCAGGCTGACCTGTTGTAGTAGGGGGGAGATGTGGCTCTGGGAGCTGACTCTGCTGGATGCTAGGGCTGGGGCACTGTGTGATGGTAGTACAAGGTCAGAACCTTCTACTCGGTTCTCCTGCCTTCCATGGCAGAGCTGGGGAAAACCCCTAGAGCGGGACTCCAACCCAGCCCCTGAGGGGCTGTGTTGTGAACGTGAGAGCTCCCTGGGCCAGGTCCCTAATCTCCCTTTGGAGAGGAAACCCGGAGTAGTTCGCCCTATTTGGGTGACTCCTCTGTCTCCACCCCAGTTCGATGGCCTGCCCCTGGAGGAGGAGGTGCTGGAGGGCGAGGGGTCTCTGGAGAAGGAGCTTGCCATTGACAACATCATCGGGGAGAAGATTGAGATCATCGCGCCTGTGACCTCCCCTTCGCTGGACTTCAATGACAATGAGGACATCCCCACTGAGCTGAGTGACTCTTCCGACACCCACGATGAAGGTGGGCGTTCGAAAGTGGGTGTGCGGAGCAGCCCTTTCTCTCTCCGTTTGAAGGCCAACAGGATGTCCCTGTGTGGAGGCTGGAGTCCGTTGGTCTCTGGGTTTCTGGTAGAAGGGTGGGTTCATGTGTCATTAGCATACGGACATTTTCTGGATAGCCGCTGCAGGATCCTTCTCATTCCGTATTTGTCTGTCCGTACTGAATGGGTCATGTGTTGTCCTGCAGTTTGGTCTTGCCACTAAAGTCTCCCCTGTTGACCAGACTTGCCCGGCACCTCTGTTCTTATAGAGATGCAAGGCAAGGCGGTGTTTATGTGCCACGGGAAGGTGCCAGTCAGCCGCTTCCTGGAACAACGCGATCTTACTAGAAGCTTGCTGTGGTGACGCCAGCATTGGCTTTTTAGACCAGGCTGTGAGAAAAGGTGTTGCCGGGTCACTCAGACTCTGGAACCTGCCCTTCTCTCTAGTATTTCTAGATAGTACTTCTTAACGTCACTCCTGCCTGCAGTGGGTCAGGTTCTAGGACCTGGTTCTGGTGTGCATTGCCTCTGGCATTCCGGGGCCCAGGGGCCTGATTGTCAGTACTGATGAAATGGGTTGATCCATGGACTTGGGGGAAGGCTAGGACTAGCGCGTGTACGTAGACAGTGCTCATTTAAACACCTGTGGACGGTCTCTCCGATGGTCCCCTGGAGTGATGTCCTCACCGTCGGCCAGCTCCCCCAGTCCCATCCAGGATGCCAGGCCAGTGCCAGTGATTGCACAGGTTGGGTACTGCACAACACGCACATCAACTCAGACGTGACCATTCCCTCCCGACTGTGCTTATCCTGTCCGGTCACAGGCACCGGCTCTGTATGATTCTGAGCCGCAGCGGCACCAGGAATGTCAGCTTCTTGCTTGAGACCGCACGGCAGCCTCTGTAGGTGCAGTGATTAGGGACTCTGGGGTGCCGAGGGCTTGGGGTGCCGGGACTTTAGCAACACACCTCTACTCCCAGGCACATTCTCCTGGAGCAGATAGAAACCTGAGAAAAGTGACAGGCATTGAAATCCTGGGGGCGGCCGGCCGCCTTATGGAAGAGGAGCCAGCTCCGTGTAGTTACGGTCGCCCTGCAGTCCAGCCCAGCTGGACTTTCCAGATGAACCCATGTCCCTTTAATGCCCCTGTGCCATAGTTGCAGGGCCGTGTGTCCTCCGTCATGCTTAACTTACAGACTCTGGATAACTGATAGCTTTTAGGTTCAGGAAATCCTCCTTCATTTAAATCTTCATCTGAGATCAGCTTCCTTAGCAAGGCTTGAAAATGGAAAAACAAGCGGAACATTCCCGTAGTCTTTGTCAAGGAAGGCTACTGGTTCAAGTGAGCTGTGTGCGTGCTGGCGAAGGAGGAGATGGACAGATGCGAGGTCATGAGCTGCTACCCATGAGGGCTGCCCTTCCTTAGGGGCCCATGACCCCGAAGTACCCTGGCCGTTGTCCCTGGGGCCGCCGCCCCTCAGCCCTCATTCCCTCCTTCTCATCCTCTTCTGTGCAGGGGAGGTCCAGGCCTTCTACGAGGACCTGAGTGGCCGGCAGTATGTGAACGAGGTCTTCAACTTCAGCGTGGACAAGCTCTACGACCTGCTGTTCACGGACTCGCCCTTCCAGCGGGACTTCATGGAACAGCGGCGCTTCTCCGGTCAGTTCATCTCGGGACACGCGTCATCCTCTCCTTCCCAAGTTTCCTCCTTCCCCAGGCTCCCTGAGGGCACGGGGGGCCCCCCTTCCCGTCCCAGAGCCCTGTGTGTTCCTCCTTCCCCCATCCCACCGTGCGCAAGGCCCCAAAGGCCCACCAGCGAGCAAGACTGCCCAGGGTTCACGGTCTCGCAGAGAACTGCCTCGAGCCCTTATTGCCAGGCATCCCCCCACCCCAGGCGCGCCAAGCACGTGACACCATCTCGCGTAACCCTTGGGCCTGCCGTGTGTGCGAGCATTGTGATCCCTGGGGTTACTGGTGAGGAACCCCGAGCTCCAGCTGTCCTCACTTTGCCCAGGAGCCATGTCGCCCAGTCGGACGTGAGCCAGGATTCACATCCAGGACATTGCACCTTCCTGCTTTGCTCCCATCTCATCCCCCTGCCCCTGTTCTGCCCCACCGCAGGGGCTGCGGCTCTGGCCATGAAAGAACATCCGGGCATCAGCGTCGCCCTCTGCCAGGAGGGGAGGGCAGACGGAGGGCACTCAGAGGCCATGCCTTAGAGGAGAGGACTTGTTCCCAAAGATCCCAGGCCCTCATCACAGTGACTCCAGTGTTGCCAGCACCCCCGCAGGTGGCCCCCGGACGGCCTGTCCCGGCCCCAGGAACAATCAGCACTCTGGAGCCCTGTGTAGAGTTTCGGCAGCGCTACAATGGGCCTCTTTCTGTTTTGACTCCCCCTCCTCCCACCCTCCTCCCGGGGCCCTCGGGCTCCCATTGGCTTCCCATTGGGGGCCAGCCGGCCGCCAGTACAGTCAAGGGTTCGCTGGGAGGGGAAATTCAGAGATGGTGCGGGCCTGCCTCCCTCCCGCCCTCATTCCGGGGCTCTTCTCCACCCTCAGATATCATCTTCCATCCGTGGAAGAAGGAAGAGAACGGAAACCAGAGCCGAGTGATCCTGTACACCATCACCCTCACCAACCCTCTGGCTCCGAAAACTGCCACTGTCAGGGAGACGCAGGTGAGCCGCGGGCGGGGGCGTAGAGGAGCGGCAGGAAGAGCCTCTGCCCCGTCTGAAGGATTGAGGGTAGACGTTGTGAAGAGGAATCTGGGTGCCTGTGTCGTTGCGCCCCAAGGCGGGGATACATGCTGGGCTGCCATTTCCACAGGTTTGGGGGGCCCCGTCTCCGCCCAGAAGTCGGGGGTGGGTGCAGGGAGAGAAGGGAGGGCGGCGCTCTTCCCACCACGTCTCCTGTTTCGTCCCCCGTCCCAACAGACCATGTACAAGGCGAGCCAGGAGAGCGAATGTTACGTGATCGACGCCGAGGTCCTCACGCACGACGTGCCCTACCACGACTACTTCTACACCATCAACCGCTACACGCTCACCCGCGTGGCTCGGAACAAGAGTCGGCTCAGGTGGGTGGCCGGAGTGCCCCGTGGGTTCCGGGAGGTGCCCCGCGTGCACACGTGACCTCGCTTGTGCTGTCGCCGTAAGACGGGGCTTTGGTGAAGGGCCCCAGGGAGCCCTCTCAGGATTCGAGACGTTCCGAGCCCCACATCTCAGAAAGGGCCGCATCATTCTCATCCTCTTCTTTGAAAATACTTTTTTGTTGGGTGCCTGTGCGCCTCCATCATCTCTCCTCCCTCCTGCCCCCACCATCCTGCCCCACACCATGTCTAGGCTTCTCTCTTCCAGCTTTTTTGAAGTATCTCTTGATGACATGTCCTTTCTGTCCAGGCCACCCAGAGGCAGCTTGTTACTGATGCACCGCCCCCCCCCAGAAAGGCGCCCCTCCCCTGTAACCCCGTGACACTTGCTGGGTGGCAGGGCAGAAGGGGATGGTGGGGTGACTTGCAAGCATCGGTTGGCTCGCATTAGGCCGCAGTGTCCCCGAGGACAGCAGGGAAGGGGGCCAGGCAGCCTTAAAAAATGGGAGCATTAACTGGGAGCTGTGGTGACACGGCCATGGAGGAGAGGAGGGGAAGGGGCTGGTGTGCAGACAGCATGGGCAGCAGAGAGACCCGTGACTGGGAGAGAGAATACTTGGAAAAATGCAAGAGGTGGCCTGCTCTTGGGGAGTGGAGAGGCGGGAGCCAGGGCCGGTGGCAGATGAGTCCCCTAGTGGTGGGAGTGACGGAACCCCAGAGCCTAATCTGGACTAGCAGGTGTCTACAGAAGAAGACAAAGACCCCCGCGGCCGGCCGGCTTCCTGGCCCCATCTGAAGGAGGCGGTGTGGCCTCATGAAAGACCTGTGGGCCCACTGTCAGGAGCCCTTCTATGTTAGCCTTTGGTCTACAGGACTATTCTAGAACTCCCATTTTCTCACCTGTAAAGGGAGGGTCCATCTGCCCATTCCACGGACCTCCGGAAGTGGTCAGGGAGCTGAGATGACACCGTGGTGTGGTGCGAAGGGCCTGTCTGGTAGAGCAGGGATCCCGGGAAACAGCTGATCTCGCTCCTGGCTTGTTCCTCAGGGTCTCCACAGAGCTGCGCTACCGCAAACAGCCCTGGGGCTTGGTGAAGACGTTCATCGAGAAGAACTTCTGGAGTGGGCTGGAGGACTACTTCCGCCACCTCGGTGAGCAGGGCTGTAGCCGTTGGCACTGGCGCAGCAGGGCCGACACGGGCTCCGCCGCGCAGCTGCCACCGGTCGGGCATGGGAAGCACGGAAGTGGGGGCCACACGTGGGCACACGTGCGTTTCCGAGAGGCTGTGCGGGTAACTTCAGAGGGGTCTGTGGCCAGCCCTCCCCACCCCCGGCATGTGACCACCACCTCTCATCACACTGGGGGTAATTCGGTACGGAGAGGAAGGGTGAGCCTGGGAATGCGTCCCTGAGGACCTGGACGTGCCCCCAGCTGTCCGCACGGGGGCGCAGATGTCGGGAACCTACGTTTCTGCACAGTGTTGAGCAGAACCCAGAGCGGGGTGTCTGGCTGGGGGTACGTCCCAGTGGAACTTCCTGAGGCTTGTCGCTGCCCCCGAGGGACCCCTGCCCTGCCACTCAGCGTCCCCGCATGCAGTGTGGGAAAAGGGTTCTCGGAGAGCGGGCTTGCTTGGGCAGAGGCAGCGTTGTCTCTGGAGGCCAGTGGGTCGAGCTGCAGGTGGAGGCAGGTGGCCTTCTCTCTCGGACAGAGAGCGAGCTGGCCAAGACGGAGAGCACGTACCTGGCTGAGATGCACAGACAGTCTCCCAAAGAGAAGACCAGCAAGGCCCCGGCCGTTCGGAGGAGGAAGCGTCCCCATGCCCACCTGCGGGTGCCTCACCTGGAAGAGGTGATGAGCCCCGTCACCACACCCACCGATGAAGACGTGGGCCACAGGATCAAACACGTAGCAGGTGCGCACCTGCTGGAGGTGGGGGTGGGGCTTGGGGCCCCGAGCAGCTTGCCTGTGCCGAGTGCCGGGGCCTACACACACGCGCTCCTTTTGCGTCCATGGGTACAGATCGTATGTAATTTGCCACTGACTCATCATTCACCTCTGGATCCGCTACCTGTTCCCCTTCGCCCTTTATGTTCCTCGGTCCCTGCTGAACCCACACGTGGGGTCTGCTGAACAGAAGTTCCCTGAACTCCCATGCCTGCCTCGATGGACTCAAACGAGCAGCTTCCAGGTTTTTGGCAAATGCACCGGGGAAAAGCTGCAGCTCAGGCCAGAGGTGCCCTCCTGACACAGATGTCAGGGAGCCTGAGGCAGCCCCCGCACCTGCCCCACCCCCCGCCTTGACCTGTTTCCCTCTTTGCATCCAGCTACGCACAACCTCATGTCTTCACTCAGTCCTGGCGACATGTGGCCATAGAGACCACCAGTCCAGAGTCTTTCAGGCCGTGCTTTGCACACCCCGGGGTGTGCCTCAGGATGGGAGCAGGAAAGGAGGACGGTGCCCGCCTTCTGTGTCCCCCTCCCTTACGTAGCGGATGTGACACATGTGAATGCACTGGGTCTCCCAGGGGAGCTGAGACTTGGTCAGCGTCCCGGCACCAGCTACAGGCACAGCCTGAGCGGAAAGCCGGCGCTGGTCCCAGCCCGGTGCGGTTGTCTGTGCCACGGCTACTTTGTCCCCGCTCCGCATGTCCTCGCTGCATAAGGCTGTTGAGTCTCTTGTTTGTTCGGTGACTTGAATGTCCACTTCGCCTGATCCAGCCCATGACCTTGCCCTTGGGGGGCTTCCCTTGCCCTTTTGGAGGGCTGGGTGTATCTCTCCTCTCATTGTTGGGAAAACATCATGGACAACTCTCCGTCATTCCCCGAAGCTTGTGCGTGACCCCTGTCACAGCAGCCAGAGGGCTCGTGAGCCGCCGTGGTGATGGCCTCTTTACTCTCCCCACAGGTTCCACGCAGACACGGCATATCCCCGAGGACACCCCTAACAGTTTCCATCTGCAGAGTGTGTCCAAGCTGCTGCTGGTTATCAGCTGTGTGTAAGGGATCTCAGCTCTCCTCCCCGCCCCTGCCCCAGCACCTTCCCTCCCTGCCCGCTGGCTCCTTGGGCGTGTGCGCACCCCTTCCCGTGGCCCTGGCCTTTGTCCTCTAGCCTCCTCTCTTCAGATCACTAGCTCTGTCCATCACTCCTTGCTGCTTTGTTTCTTTTTCTCTGTTCGATTTAGCATCTGCAGTAAGCTAGGCCCTCAGGAGGGGGAACAGAACACTGTATACAGCAACCATGCCCTTGGCAACTCAGTTTCAAGTGGGTAAGACAGACAGGAAATTCAGAATTACTACACTGTTGGAGAAATGCTAACACGGAGACGCCGCACAGCGTCTGAGAAGCCCGTTCATTCACGTGTGAGGGAGGTCCTGAGACTGCTCTGGTCCGGGGGCCAGGATCGGGGCACGCCTGGGCCCACACTTTGGCAGGAAAGCCAGACAAAATCGATGACGACTGTCCCGAAATATATGCTTATATTATTGTAAATAATTTACAAGGTTGCCATCACGTTATAGAACAGTAGACGCAGTAATGTTCCCAGGAGGACCCTGGGCAGGGAGAGACGAAGTGGGAAGAAATGCACAGGTAGTGTGGGAGGGCCCACTGTCCACGGAGGAGCCCAGGGCGCTGGGGTCGTCCCTGAACCGCTGGGAGCCGGGAGTTCCTGGGACGGGCGGCTGAGTGCAGATTGCTGTTCTGCTTGGTTCGGCCCGCTGCCGGACCACCCCCACCCCACCGCCTTCCCTGGAGATGGGGGTGTGCTGTGAGCTTGGGGGGGGGCACAGGCAGGTGTGACATGGGAGATGCCCAGATGGGGGTCCTGCCTGCTCTGCACTGGGGACTGGCCTGTCTCTGGGTGTGTCTTCTATGACACCCTCTCCCGACTCGGTCAGGCTCCCATAACTCGTTTTCAGAGAGGCAGAAGCAGAGGCACAGACAAACCTGTCAGGAAGCTCTGGAATGTGACAGGATTGGCTTTCTGCGTTGCTGTTTTATCACTTCAGGGCCTTTTGGCTAAGATCAGGTGGTGGTGTTGTTTTAAGTCCCTCTGCCTGCCTGTAGCAGGAGGCCTAGAGAAGAAAGGGCTGGAGGCAGGCAGGCTGGTCCAAGTAAGGGGCAGCGGCATAGGGGAGCATGACTGTCCCTCAAGGAGGGGACGGAGGACCCGTTAGCCATCTGGTTGGGTAGCCGAAGAAGGGGGAGGACTGCGGTGGGCGCCTGGAGATGGTTGTGTCATTCACAGAAATCCGGGTCGGGGTGCAGAGCTGTCCGAGAAGATGCTCTGGGCTCCAGCTGTGTCCCACGTTGCAGTAGGGAATCCAGGGGGAGGGGACAGCACTTGCTGATATAGACCTGGGCGAGGCGGAGAGGCATATGGCTCATGGATGCTGATTTAGTTAGCGATAGCATGAGAGCCCCGGGTGAGAATGAGACCATCCGAGGACAGCGCCGGGTATGAGAAGAAATCGGGGCCACAGACAAGGCGTGGGCACCATGGGGGGGCGCTTACAGGGGTGTCCGTGGACCTCCACGGAGCACAGGCAGAATTGTACACACAGACCTAAATGCAGGAGGTAGGATATACGCAGCCCACGCCAAAGAGGCGGGCGTTCAGGTCCTCTGGCGCATGTGGGTACAGTTAGAGGCAGCGTCATTGCAAGTCAGCGTGAAATTTAGAGATTGTTCTGGAGAAGGCACAGAGCCCTGGATGGGGTCAGGGACTGGAAGCTGTCAGCTCCAGGAGTATCTGCTTCTGTAGTGCTGGAGGCACAGAGAAGAGCGCAGTCTCCCTCTCTTCTCTCTCTCTCTCTCTCACACACACACACACACACACACCCCCGAAAGGTCGAAGGCACAGCATAAGATGTTCTTTGTTGGTCCTTTTCCATCATTCTGTCTCCCTTTTCTTGTGTGTGTCCCTAAATGTCCTCATACCCCTTTCATGATAAAACTGGCCGTCACGGGGGGCTCCTGTGTGCAGGGAGCTTTCCGTCCACGCTTTCAGCCCACGCACAGTGCAGCCCCAGCGGGGTAGTTAAGGGTGTTCAGAGAAGCTAGGGAACTTCATCAGAATTTCAGAACCCTGAAACATTGCACCAGCACTGTACCCAGTTCTATGTGTCTCTAGATCCCCTTGCTCTGCAAATCATCTCTCTGCCACGAACCTAAAATGACCTTTTGGCAGCCCCTGAGGCTCCCCCATCTCTTGGTGGCCCTCTGTGCCCCCAGGGTCGTCCTTACCATCTCCTGGCTCTAAGCAATGCTAGCCCAGCTCGGGCAACCTCGTGACCCCCACGGGTCCAGCCAGGCATGAGGACGAGACGTGCTGTAGGACATCGTGCTAACCCCTGTTGGGGAGATCAGGCCGATAGTCCACAGCCTCGCCCTTCTGTCGTGTGTCCGGTTCGCTGGGTAGGAGGACATGCCTCTGCGTGTCACCCTTGACCTACTAAGATCTGTTTGCAGCTGCTGTCTCTTGCTCCTTGCTTGCTGGGTCTCCTCGTCCTCGTGTCCTCACTTTCAGTGTTTCTTCCCCCCAGACTCACTTGCTCCCTGGCTTGGTTACAGTGCAGCCCTCCCCATCTCAGCACTGGCCTGTTCTAACCTCTGCCTCCTCCCCATTTTTCCTCCTTGCTCCCATTAGGATCTGTTTCAGGTACTGGCTCTCTGATTGCTTCGTTTACCCTTCATCTCTTTTCCTCTCCATCTTACCTCTTCCCCCAGGCACCCTGGGTCTAGGGGGCTCCTATGTGTGTCTCTTTCCCAATGCCTTCGCCCACGTGCCTCTCCATGGCGCTCCTGCTATGTCCCGGCCCCTCCAGATGAGAGCGCTGCTCTCTCTCCCTCTCCCCCTCGCTGCATCCTTCCTCCTCCCTCCCTTACTGCCATGCTTCAGGTGACCTATGGTCAAGGACAGCAGCTGCCTCTGGAGGGGTGGGGGGTGATCCCAGGCTTTTCAAGGTTGCATGCATTCTCAGATGACCTCTCATGCCTGTCGCCTTTGTCCCCTTTGTCTCCTTCCCAGTCTGGTGCTGCTGGTTGTCCTTAACATAATGCTCTTCTACAAACTCTGGATGTTGGAATACACCACCCAGACCCTCACCGCCTGGCAGGGTCTGAGGCTCCAAGAAAGGTAATCCTTGCCTCTTCCCTGGGCCACCACCTCCATCCCACCTGGTACCGTGCCCCCGCTCCTGCCATCCGGTCTCCGTGGGACGGCTCCACTTCCCTTATCCAGTGGGTAACCCTTTGGGATGAGCCCATAAGTGGGCTCTGAAAACTGTCCGTGTAGCTTTAGTCTGCTTCTGACCTGGGGCACAGGGGAGCCGGGGGCATTGAGCAGAGGACAAAGCAGTCTGATGTGACTCTCTGTCCTTTAGGGGTCTGGGAGCACAGGACAGTCCACTGAGCATAACTCCAGCTGCCGGGGTACCCCTTCTTCTGCCCCACAGGTTACCCCAGTCTCAGACAGAATGGGCCCAGCTCTTGGAGTCCCAACAAAAGTACCACGATACAGAGCTCCAAAAATGGAGAGAGATCATCAAATCCTCGGTAATGCTTCTTGACCAGGTGAGATGTCCCCACTTTGTCTCCTTGCCCTCATCTTCCGAAGATGAGCTGCTTCCCTGTGCTCTGGGAGATCTCCCCGTCCTGTCCCCATCCTCACCCCCACCCACTGGACCTCACCCTCCTGTTCATTCTTCCCCTGGGCCATCCATTGTTCTGATTTTAAAGTCATCCTGGAATGGGTTGTTGGAAACACAGGTGTTCTCCCCAAGCGATAACAATGAAATTTGCAGCAAGAAAGCAGTAGGTTAGACTGAAGAACTCCTTTATTTTTTTCCCCCCTTGGTCACTCGTGGCCATCTGACAGGCATTTAAAGGGGAGAACCTCCTTTCACAGAGATTTGTCTTCCGAGAGGGCATATGTTTCTAGTTCCTTTTGCTGTATGCCCCCCCCCGCCCCCCCGCCCTCAACACACACACACACCATCACACAACCCCCAACACGTCACTCTCTGTCAGGAGCACAGGTAGTCTGGGAAGATGGTGTTAGTACTGCGTCATCTCTTTGTGACATCTTCTAGTGTAGGTGCCTGTGTTCCTTCCAATAACTGCATTCGTTCATCTCTTTAAGAAAATCCTTCCGGTGCAAAATCAACAAGTTTAGTTTCATCAAAGGAGGGAGCTTCTCTTCCTTCCCCCAGAAGAAGTTAACATTTAGAACTCCTTTGTAGTTGCTAAGACAGCAAGAGGCTAACTTTGCCCTCCAAGAGAATTAAGAAGATAGGAGATGAAAAATTTGTCCATTAAAATTTCTGTTCCTAAGGAGTTCTTTATGTTTGGTGGTCGGCCAGACTTGAGATGGAATCCCAGCCTTGCCACGGACTGGTTTTGTGACCTGGAGCAAGGGATTTAATATTAGTGACTTCACAGTTTCTTCCTTTATAAAATGGGAATTACAATTGTGACTTCGTGGAATTGCTGTCAGGATTTGAGGGCACGGGGGAGGCCCTCATTAATATTAAATCTTACTCCCCTTCATAGTGTGGTCTTAGCTGTAGATCGAGGAGAGAGCATTTTAATGTGGCTATCAGGATCCAATTTAATGTGTTCTAGAATATCATATTTAGCTTTGGAGCCATGGATTTTTTTTGTTTTTTTAACAAAAGGGGTAAATGGCATTGCAGGGTGCTTAGGAGCTCTGTGATACCAAGAAAAGTTGATCAAATTAAAGATACACTTAGGAGAAGGAAGGATGGGGTGAGGAAAACAGGATAGGCTTCAGACCTTGAGGTCCAACAGGTAGAAGGATAGATTGAATGCTCGTGGGGCCCCAGGGGCTAGAAGTTACAGGGAAAGGGAGCTTCAAGTAATCAAATAAAAACAGACCACTGACAAGCTAGTCAGGAATGGAATGGGCTATTTTGAAGGCTCGAGATTCTATCACCGGAAGTGCCCAAGGGTTGACCAGGTGGTGTCAGATAAGAAACTTATGAATGAAGTAGGAGGCAGTTGGACTGAACGACCTCCAGAATCCGGTGTCAGGATGGGGTCCCTTACATTGGAGCATGGGGCGGTCAGATGTATAGGGTGGAGGACTCAACTCTATGAGCGTTAGGATAGGTGTTTTGTTTCATTCCCTTTATTTATTTTATTTTACTTTTTTAAAGATTCTTATTTATTTATTAGAGCAATAGAGTGAGCTCAAGGAGGGGGAGCAGGAGAGGGAGAAGCAGGCTTCCTGCTCAGCGGGGGCTCGATCCCTGCTGTAGGACTTGATCCCAGGACCCTGAGATCGTGCCCTGAGCCGAAGGCTGACGCTTAACAGACGGACACCCCCCAGGTGCCCGTTTCATTCCCTTTAAAAGTAACTTCAGGAAGATTAATAACAGACCCCTTTGGAGCATCCCTACAGAGCAAAGGGTATATAGAAGAACCAGAGAGAAAGAAGAAAACTAGATTAGGCAGAGGGAGAGAGGATTTCAAAATCCATAGCCATGTGCCCATGAAATGTTAGCCATGTTGTCCCAGGGCAGCTTAGGTCAAGGTGGTATGTAAATGTGTTGTGTATGACAGACCCATTAGGATTCTGCTGCTGGGACTCTGCCCCATTTAGACTCCTGGCCATGACCTGACAGTGTTAGTGTGCCTCTTCCTTCATGGAGGTTAAGACATTCAGTTAAGGTTAATTCATGATGTGGGTACAGCTAGAAGCCTGCTCAGTTGTCGGGTCTCGCTTGGCACCCAAAGTGTCTGTTGCTATCCACCACACATGAAACAAAATGATTACAGATGACCCTAGTGTGGAGTCCCAACAAGTGGTTTATGAGCAGCCAGGAAAAAGGAAGTGGATGGTGAGCTAGAGAACGTTTGGACTTGTTCTGGGCCTTACGATGGGTGAGATTGGAATAGGCAAGAAGACAAGAGCCCCGGGCTGGGAAAATAAGGTGGCAAAATGCACAAGATGGGAGTATATGGTCTTCAGGATTGATGGGGAAACCACCTGGAATGAGTAGAAGACAGCCTCGTGTGGCTCCTTATAGCAGTGGAATGCTTTGAGAAATTTTTTCTTTTTTGAAAGAGAGAATTTTTTTTTCCCAAGATTTTATTGAGTGAGAGAGAGAGATCACAAGCAGGGGGGAAGTGTAGAGGGAGAAGCAGACTTCCCACTGAGCAAGGACCCCTATGTGGGACTCGATTGCAGGACCCTGGGATCATGACCTGAGCTGAAGGCAGACTCTTAACCCACATAGCCACCCGGGCACCCTGAGAGAGAGAGAGAGAGAGAGAATTCTTTTTTTTCTTCCCTAAAAATTTTATTCATTTATTTAACAGAGAGAGAGACAGAGAACACAAACGGGGGGAGCAGCAGAGGGTAAGGGAGCAGGCTTCCCGCTGAGCAGGGAGCCGGATGTGGGGCTTGATCCCAGGACCTTGGGATCATGACCTGAGCCGAAGGCAGACGCTTAACAAGTGAGCCACCCAGGCGCCCTGAGAGAGACAGAGAGAGAGAGAGAGAAAGAATTCTTAATCGAGCAACACAGGGGCCACAAATCATTAAGACACAGGAAACCTCACCCCAAGGGTTCCCAGTGCTAGATCGGCTGTCCCCTTTCTGCTGGAGGCAGCATCCTAGGAGAATCCCCCTTGTCTTAGGGGCCCAGCTTCCTGGAACTCGATGTTGCGCTAGGGGACCCGCCCTTGGTGGGCGTGGTGGAGAAGCCCACTGAGGGCACCAACCCGGGGCTGGGCGGGCTTCCCTGTCTTCCAGATGAAGGACTCGCTCATCAATCTCCAGAATGGCATCAGGTCCCGAGACTACACGTCAGAAAGTGAAGAGAAGAGGAACCGCTATCACTGACAAGGCAGGAGCAGGGGGGGCTGCGAGAGGCCCGTGCAATACGTGTACATAGACCGTATAAATAGATATATATAAATATATATATATACAGAATATAAATATATATATATTATATACAGATTTTAAAAAGAGATAATGCCTATGTACCAGGGAGAAGGAGCGGGCCCGCCTCCTGTGCTGGTCGGCGGAGGGGCCGAGGAGGGCAGGGACCACCTCTCAGCACCGACCTCCCCTGATCCTCCCCCAACCCCTGTCCCTGCCCTTCCCCTCCTGGCCGTTCCAGGCTCTGAGAAGGGAAATGTTGTTGAGCCAAAGTCATGCCTGTGAAGACCCTGGGGTCTCGAAGTCTCAAGGGGCTTAAGGTGCTTCATTCCCGAATCCCCTCTTGATTTGTTTCCAAAATAAAAGAGAATCTTTTCTTCCCTACCCCACGCTTCCCCAGGTGTTCTCTTGTGAACTGGAAGCATCAAGGGCAAGAACCCGTCCAAACTCTGCCACCTGAGCCCCCTCCCTCCCACCCCGCTGTCTATGGACCATGCGCCCCCAGCGAGGCGGAGGGCTGGAAAGCTGGGAAGGCTGCCCCTGTGGGACTGGGCCTTGAGCTGCAGGCTCCCGAGGACACGTGTGCAGGATGGTGTCCTCCTCCCTCACCCCTGCACCTTCCCCTGACCCCTGTAGGGTGTGGACCCAGTAAGGGCTGGGAATTTCTTATTTCCCGCCCCCTTCCCCCTTCTCTCTGGTCTTCTCCCAGGCTGGATCTGGGTGAAGTGTCACTTTTTAGTGCCTAAAGCCCTATTTTTTCTCTGTGCCCTAAGAGCACATCGTTTATTAGCCAGGATGGAGCATTTTGGATCTCGTTAAACCCCTTTCCGAGTGGTTATGAGCCAGTCAGGCCTGTGGCTCTAATTTCTTCACTTTGAGCTGATAGTTTGATTTCCGGGACGAGTCAGGGTGTCCTAGGGGCGTCCGGGGTTGGAGGGAGGGAGTGCCCTAGCACTGTACAATCAGATCATAGGTTCACAGAGAACGCCGTAGGAGTAGTGAGCACCGATCTCCAAGCGCTCACTTGGCTGCCAGCATCCTTTCCTTATAAGGGAAGGATTGACTTTGATTAAGGGAGACAACGAAGACACTCCGCACAGGGTAGGAGACCTAGGCTTTTGGAAAGAATGCATTTGGCAAAGGTGCATTGCATTTGTGCAGGAAAAGGCCAGAGTGAGCCTCTGCGCCACGAGGAGGCTATTCCAAATCCCGTTCCTCAGACTTGAGAGTGGGAGCTGTGGCAGAGGAGGCAAAGCCTTCTCTAGCCTCTGGCCCCAGAGAGGTACGAGACTACTCAGGAGGAGAAAGAAGACCTTTGGTTAGGAGAGTGAGTCACTCAGGGCCTGTTGGGAGTTGGCTCCCTCGGACACGGGCATTTATCTGACCTTGCAGGGGCCTTCTGGGCACGATTAGCATTTTTCATTCATTTAACTGCTATTTGTCTGTGTAATGATCAGAGGAATCCTGCCAGCCCCTCGGTTCCTTGGTTGGGAAAGGATCATACTAGTTTGGCCGGGAAGACTCTTCCAGATTGCTTGTTCTCCTGGGGGTCTCTTGACATAGGAGGTCAAAGGAAAGGAGGATTTTATCGCTGATCTAGCCGCAAAGAAAAGCAAGTCATGTTCTTCTGTTGGAATGGCCTGAGCATCCCCCTTTGACAATCAAAGACAGCTTTTGACTTCTCAGTCTAAGAAATATCCTGCCTAAGGGCAGGATGGGAAGACAAAGGATACTTGCCTCAGGGGAGTGGGCTGAGAATCAGCTAGAATGGATATCCCTTCTCTAGGAGAGGAGATTCCAGGGCTGGAATCATGCCTGTGCAAGGTGCATGTGCCCACAGGTCACGGGGGGTCACTCCTCATCCTTGTCCAGGACTTGGATCGGGAGACACTCCAGTGATGGTCGGGGCTTGTGGGCCCCGGGCCAAAGGAGGAGGAACAGTGCAGACTGCTAGAAATTTTCCTGCCGCAGGATCCAGTGGCCAACATTATTCTCAGAAACTTTTGAAAGCAAAAGTGATAAATTCTCTCCTTTATTCCATTCATAATTTAATACTTATTTAAATCATCCAGTTGTTGATGGTCCCGTGGTGGGACCTTTGGGGTGACTTCCAGTGGTTTCTCTGCTGGGAGTAAAGTGATGTCAGGGGGCTTGGCTGCACAGAGCTGTTCGCTTTTGCTTTACCTCTTTGGCCATCCCAGGGAGGAGGAAGTGACAGGAAGGGAGATGCTTAGTATATCCGAGGAACCCTGGGGGTTTGAACCCGGGACACACTGTGTACACATGGGGAAGGTCCCTCGGCCTACCTCATTCCTAAGAATCATGGATCTCTTGTGGGCACTCTGTTCTAATACTGTGTTTAACTTTCAAAGCAGAAGACCCAACACCTTTATTCACTCCTGAACAAAACCTTCTCCCCACACTCAGTAACCTGTCCAAGGAAGCGCACCTTTGCAGATTAAGTCTGGGAGTGAAACTGATCAGTAACATGGCAGCTCGAGCCCAGCAGCTTGGCTTGTAGCTGTTCCCGGGAGCATGAGAACCACATCCTTTGTGTAATTCCTTCCAGCCTGTGCTTTGTTTTTGTTCACGTAAGGACCCTGGTCATGTGGGAATCTTTCCGCGAGGATTCCTGGGGTCACGTTTGAGAGCTTGCATTCAAAAGATGCTGCAGCATCTCTGACCAGGTGGCAGTGAGCTACAGGGTCTGTCCTTCCATCCCAGCTCCCTTGAAGGAATTATGGCCTTGGAAAACCCACTCACATCTGCAACGCCTCGCTTCTCCCCTTCACCTCCCTGGGACAAGGGCAGCAGGATCAGCAGCTCTTTATTAGAGCACTGGGCTAAGTTAGGAGACCTGGGCCCAAGTCCTGGCTCTGCTCTTGGACAAGTCACTTCCCTTACCTGAGTTGCTGTATCTTCCTTTGTAACGGGAGGGGGGTTGAGCTGGACCATCTCTAAGATAGGTTCTAGTGTGGGCATTGTCTTTATTAGGCTGTGTTGGAGACTGGCAAGGTAGGGCTTTCTTAAACTTGGAGAGAACAAGCCTTCTGGGCTAGAGCTTCCTGGTGTGTAGAGTAGTAGGGCAGTGTCAGGGTTCCTGGGAAATCCAGGATAGTTAAACTTTCTTCTTTATGAGCCAACAGGACTAAGGAGGCCTAGTGAGGCAGGGAGAAGGAGATCAGGTGTGTTGTATTTCCCATTATTAATCTAGGAGGGTGTGTCTTCCTTTGTCGGCCTAGTCTTAGTTTGGGAAGGGACTTTCTCTAAGCTAGGAGGAGGAGGATAATGGCAAGAAGGGCACCATCTTGGATTAATATAAGCTCATCTTTTGTCTCTAGGCTGTGAAGCCTTTCATCTGTCCATCCTTCCTCCTCCTCACTAGAAGAAACACTGGAGAGAAGTCATTCCTGGTCCTAGTACTTCTCTTTTGACTCAGTTCAAACCTTGTTGGGGTTTTGATTAATTGTGAAGCTTTGCCTAAAATCCTGGGGTTGTCATAGAGCACTGACCCTAAGAACCTGGGATTACAGGAAGGGGGAGAGGGATCAAGAAACCTCAAGAAGAATGCTTTGCTAGAAATGGCTTCTCTCCCTGTCCCTGTCCTGACACAAGCGTGGACCATGTCTAAAATCATTTCTGGGCAGCATCTCTAGGGTGAAGTCTTGGAGAAAGGACCAGGGAGAAGAATCTTTCTGGACTGTGGTCTCAGAAGGCTGTTCTCTGTGCCATGCTGTGCTGCTGCTTTAGCTCTGCAGAACAGCTAGAGCGAGGCCCCTTCCTCCCTAGGGCCCCCAGGTGGCAGGGCTGTGATCTCCCTCCCCACACCCCCTGGACCTCACCTGCCCACTCCAGTAGGAAACTTGAGAACCTGTCTTCCTGACTCTCTCCTCCCCCGACCCCTTGTCTCTAGGCTGTGGGACAATCATCCCATCCACCACTTAACATCCTTGACCCTCATCCCCCAATCTCCAGCAGGCTGGCCCCCCTCCCTCCAACTCTATGTTTTCTTCCAGAAGATGCATTTTTGGGTCCGAGTCGAGCGTTTTTCTGGAAGGTCGTCTCTTAACACCCCCTGCTTCCCTGATATGGAGCAGGAATTTGCACAAGGTGTAGAGAGCACCCCTTCCCACCTCTCTGCCCAGCCTTGTTACCTCACTCCTGCTCCAGCCATGGCTGTGGACGGGCCCAGCCAGCTCCCTGGCTCGGTGTTGGGTGCGACAGCTCAGGGGTCTTGGGCATTGTTCTCTGTTGTGACTTGAGGTCCTCAGCAGGCCTGGGAGCCTGGACTGGAACCTTGGCCACTGGCGGGAAGCACCTTGCCTGCCAAGAGGAGCTGATGCCAGACGATGTACCCAGCATGTGAAAGAGTAAAGAATACTGTCATCTGTGCCCCGTGGCTTCCTTGCTTCTCACAACACAGTGAGACGCTGCAGAAACAAGATGGCGGCCTCCGCTCCAGGCGAGACAGCTGGCTCTGTCTGGGGAGTTGGCCCTGGGCTCGGGTTTCACGTGCTGAGATTGCATAACGAAAGCAACCATTTTTGCCAACAGTAGTGTGGCTCCCCACATTTCCCTGTCCTGCACTCTAAGGCCAGACCACTCTCTGCATGGACCAGGTCATCTTCCCAAACCCATGGTGCTTTTCCCCCGACCCCCACTCAACCTAGACTCCCAAAGTGGGGAGAGATGAGTCAGAGGCCCCAGGGGCCCCTGGATAATCCTGACAATGGGTGGAGTGGGTGAGGCAGAGGGAGCAGCCCCCAGCACCTGCATGGGGCCATATATGGGAAAGAACACCGGTCGACTGCAGTTGAGTTGTCTGGCCTCTGTATTTGGATCTAGAACTGTACTTTGCCTGGCGCTGTGCGCAAGGTCTGAAAACTTACCTGCTATTACCTAGAACCATACACGGCTTCCCAGCCAGATCTTCATGTAAAGTAGCTAGAGCCATGGAAGTACAGTATGAATTAAAAGAAAAAAGTATTGAACTACAAATAATAAATGGTGTGTGTGTTTATTGCTCGATTCACTAATGCTCATCACCCCCAAAAGGTTTTGGTCCTCTCAGATGTGATGAGGGCGTGCATGCATGTAGGGGTGTATGTGTGTGTGTGTCTGTGTGCGCTCATACACATGCTCAACGTCTAGGATGCCCTTTCCTGGGAAGGCAGGCAGCCTGGTAAGTCAGATGGATAAGAAGTCTTCAAATCAGACCAGAGTATGGATTGCAGCAACACTACTTTCCAGCTGTGTGACCTTGGTCCCCATCCATTATTCTGAGCCTCAGTTTTTTAGAGATAATATAAAATATGTCTGTGTCTTTTTTTTTAAGATTTTATTTAATTACTTTATTTAATTCATTTTTTTTAAAGATTTTATTTAAGAAATCACAAGTAGGCAGAGAGGCAGGCAGAGAGGGAGAAGAGGAAGCAAGCTCCCCGCTGAGCAGAGAGCCCGATGAGGGGCTCGATCCCAGGACCCTGGGACCATGACCTGAGCCAAAGGCAGAGGCTTTAACCCACTGAGCCACCCAGGCACCCCAGTGTCTGTGTGTTTCTTCATAGAGTGGCAAGTACTATACTAAGAAAACTTTTTTTCCTTATTAACCGTACTTTGAAAGATTTATTAGTGGGAGAGGCAGAAGGAGAGGGAGAGAATCAAAGTGGGGTTCAGTCTCATGACCCTGAGATCACGACTTGAGCCAAAACCAAGAGCAGGATGTTCAACCGACTGCCCCCCCGCACCCCAGGAGCGCCCAGCAGTACCATTACCGTAGGAGCCTATTAACACATGCTGTGACTCCCAGGGACAACATCTTACTCAACTTTTCCCTTCTGTGCCTTGGCCCTTCCAGGAAGGTGGACATCGGGAGACTGCTTTGCCTTCCTTGTTAGCCTAGACTGGTTGAGGAGTCTGGCCCCTCCCCTCATTAGGCCTGTCTGTCTTGGAGTTACACCCTCACCACGTGATGGGAAACTTACTGGGTGTCCGGCGGGAGGGAAGACTGGCAACTCTTGCATTCCTTTGATTTGGAGAGGGAAGGAGGGCTGCATCACACATTTATACCGTTTAGTTCTAGACTGCTAAATGCATTTTTTGCTCTGCGGGAAGATACCACCGATGGGGAGTTAACGGAGTTGGCGCGGGCTGGGGAGGGAGGTAGAAGCCATAGTACAGACAGCAGATACACACAGCCCAACCAGAGCAAGTGCGTTTAGAGACACTTTATTGACACAAACAAGGTATTTCCTGAAAAACACTACCTACTGGCGTTAGGCTGTGGAGAGCGTGGGCGATCAGGAACGACGTTTCTAGGGTTTGGGAAAAGCTTGGCTGTGGAAAATCAAAAAGCAATAACGAAGAGGATGATGTGGCAAAGAGATGCGTCAGTTGCGGGACTGCAGGACTTGGCGGATTGTGTTCGATGCTGTTCCCAAAGGGACGAGCGCTCGGGCTTCCGCAGCGCCCCTGCCCAGCGGATGCAGCTCTTGCCGGATAGCGATGCAGCGGGGAGAAGCCTGTTACCAGCTTTGAGGCTTAGCTGGCCTAGGAGAGGGGTGGAATCTGATCTACCACAATTCAGACTTGGTTCATGTGCTTATCTCCTGGGTCCTACTCTAAACTCACAAGCAAGAGAGCTCAACATGAGTTATCTACCATGCCGGACTTTCAGAGATTAGGAAGAGCTTGGCTGACGGTATTTTTCTGACCTAAGGCGGCGGGGCACCCAGAGGCTCTGGCCTGGTGCTTGAGACCATGCGTGCGGAAACGCAGGCGAGATGGGCGATCGGAGGCTGAACACAGCAGTACGACTCAGATCCACTCGCAGGGACGAGGTGAACTCACTGGCGTAGGGACCTTTCATCTACAAAAGGAAGGGAAGGGAAGGCTTTTTGTTGGTGTTTTATTTTTCCCTTTCTCTGTGTGAACTTGGGAACCAAGATCTGTTCTGAAATGGGTCTGGGTTTGCATCTTGCCACAGGGATGCCAGTCACACAGCCTCACAGATCCGGGGTTAGAGGTCCTTTACTTTTTGATCTAGTAGTTTTGTGGGGGAGGGGAAGGACCGCCTCCTGCCCCTCAGCCAGCCACTGCCTCCTCGTTTCTCCAGCACAGTCCTGCTTTGAGAAATTCCCTTTCTACTAACCTGTCTAGGTGGGCATCAAAAGAGAAAAACTCTGAGAATCGGCAATCTGGGTGTGTGGATGTTGGGGGATGGAGGAAGTAAAGGAGAATGCTTTTAAACAGATGGAAAGTAAAGGCTGGGGGAGGGACAGGCCCTGACTGTCACAGTATTAACACACAGGAGCTGGGGCTGTGCAAGAAGACCGAGCTGGCAGTGAAGGTCAGTAGGGCAGGGTGTCTACAGCGCCAGCCGAGTTGAGCAATCAAGTTCTTGGCTGTGCTAGCGGTAGGAAAAGAAAAACCAGAGCCAGCCTGCCCTGGCCTTCAGCGAAGTGTGTTATTGAAGGATCTGTCATGGGAAATACACAGCACCAAGGCAACAGGTGGGGTTCCTAAAGTGGTAATAGCCCTTGAGAACATTTCTAAGCCCTTTTATAAGAACAACATGCCAGACGAAGCTTCCAGAGCAATGCACACTGGGTCTGGCTCCTCTAGGAATATGGGGAAGATCTGAAGCAGGCTGGGGATCATGGGGTTTGTAGTCCTGATCAAGCCTCCCGGGAAGGAGCTGAGTTGCCATTCAGGAGAAAGAGTGATGTGCAAACCAGCCAGAGAGGGAAAACCGAAACAAAACAGACTCTCAAAGCACCATGCGAGCACCGCTAAGATGCAAAGCGGCAGAGGAGCAGCTGAGGGGTAGGGGTGAGAGCTGTCCAACCCCTGCAAGAGAGGCGGAGAGGAGACGAAATTCAGCCACGGAAGAAAGCAGCGGCGGTCTGGGTGGAAAAGGAGCGGGGCCAGGAGTCCAGAGAAGACCCGACCGCGGCTCCGCACCTCCCAGGTGTATGAAGGCAGGATGTGGTAAAGCTGCTTGGCCTCAGACAGCCTCAGTGTGCTCAGTTGATACCTGGGTATGGTAATACCCACGGTAATACCCGCCTCACAGGACTAGCTGGGGAAGAGAACTAAAGTATCGGAAATGAAAGTGCTGTGTAAGCCATGTTGCTCTCACAGCAGAATTAAGGATGAGAGGGGTGGAGAGGTTAGGAAAGAGAAAAGAATTGAGAAGCTTCCTTGTAAAAGATAAAGAAGGGGAGAAAATGATAGGTGCCATTGAGTTCATTAAAAACCACTCAGGAGGGGTGCCTGGGTGGCTCAGTGCGTTGAGCCTCTGCCTTCGTCTTGGGTCATGATCTCGGGGTCCTGGATGGAGCCCCGCATCGGGCTCTCTGCTTGGCAGGGAGCCTGCTTCCCCCTCTCTCTCTGCCTGCCTCTCTGCCTACTTGTGATCTCTGTCTGTCAAATAAATAAATAAAATCTTAAAAAAAAAGACCAAACCACTCAGGAAATACTTGAGTTGGGCTTTTGAAAAAGGACAAAGGCAGCCATCGTGTGTACTACTTGATTACGAGTCAGATGCGTGGTCTCCTGGAAGCAAGAGGAGGGTTGGCTGGTCGGAATTAGCTTGCTTCTGCTGTAAACTTGGCCATCCACCAGCCACGGGACTGGAACTCACAGGAATTTTTTTTTTTTTTTTTGTAATGAGGAACTTCTTCATTACAAAGTACGAAAAATGGTCTATATTCTGCCGCCTATTTCAGAGAAATCGTGTGGGAAATTACCGATGAGAAAGGTCTTGCTTGAGTTTACTGAAAGTATTTTCTTCAATAGAATTGGACTCTTGAAGATGTGAACAAGGACTTGTTTCTAGCAGATCCTCCCAAGGATGGAAGAATTGAAAGGTTTGTTGGGTGAGCCCCAGAGCCAGTGGAGTGTGCTCTTTCCCTCACACATTCCCCCAGATCTGAGCGACATCTCACTGCCTGGGCCCTGCCACCGCCATGCTTTCATATCCCATAAAGCAGCCTTCCCCTTCCTCCTCACTAGGTGCCGAAGGACATCACACTTGGACCAGTCACTCAGTTGAAATGAAATGAGACACTGACTCAAATTTTTTCAGTGTTCCTCCTCTCTCCCCAAATCCAGAAAAATACCCAACAGCGAGAGGCATCATGGATTCGTGGGTGGAATATTTGGAAGTCAATGCGCCCTGCCCGTCTCTTCACTCATTCACGTGTCATCCATCTAAGACTAAAAAGCACATTTCTTAGTTTAAGTATTCCCAGAGGCAACGTCCTTCTGGAATATTCTTCATGTTCACTGAGGAAATTCTTCCAGTCCACCCCACGTCCTACTCTGGGCCTTTCAGCCGGATTCCAGTTACCTGACGCTATCAGAGTTAACCTTAGCCAGGCAATCCAAGCCCACCCCCCAGCCCACCCCCGTGCTTGGGGATGAGGCATGGCCACAGCCAAGCTCAGTTTCAAGGTCTTTTTAAAAACAAAATCATCCCGTCTCTGAAAGTCCCGACTGGACAGCATCTAAGGCTTATTATGCCCCAGGTAGCCTCTGAAGTCTCTTACCCAGTTGAGCCCGGTCTGGAGTCCCAGTTGTCTCCTGTGAAATGAAGAATAATACTGATCTACAGGAATTTTGAGAGGAAGAATTTAGGAATTTCTGTTCCAATGCCCACAGGGAAATAGTGCTTCCCAGTGATCTCAGGTGGGTGCTCCCCTTGGAGGGTGCACCTGTGCTACCCTAATAGGGTTATGAACCTGTTGCATGATTTTTAAGAGCCACTTCTGTCTTTGGCTTCTTGAAGGACTGAGCCCTGCTTAGGCCTTAGAGACCTATCAGGATCGAGCCCTAGAGTACCAAGTTCTGAACACATTTTGGCCCAGGCTTAGTAAACTTTCTATCACTGAAGAACCTAGAAAGGCATGCTTTGCTCTGATGCTCTAGTCAGGTGGGCCAGGGACTTGAAAAAAACTGGCTTCAAGGAATCCCACTTCATGACACTCGTGCTTTAA